ACAAACAAATCACACCAAACCCAGCAACCACCGCGTCCGATGTAGGTAGGCACCTGCTCCTCTGCTCTCCACCTGCCCACCCACCCGCCACCCCGCAGGCCAACAAATCAAAAGGCAAACACAACAAAAACTGTAAACAAGCCATCACCCCCCTATTGGAACCAACACGGGGTTGAAGAGTTGAAAGGGATGGACATTCTGAGGGGTGCATACGGGGACCCTGATTTGAGCAACCGAGCCGTGGGAGATCGATTTGCTATATCTTTTCCGAACTCCACACGTCTAAATTCCGAACAGCTGGCGGGCTCATGGCCCGGACATGGCCAAAACTAACAAGGAGTGCAAAGTACGCCATATGCCCGAGAAGCCAACCTTGTTTGGGGGCTTTAATATCTCATTGGCCTTTCTTCAGCGTGCGTCTATACCGCGTTTTTTTGGGTTCGTTTCTGAGCATCCTCAATAAGACGTTTTGTTGGAGCCCGGCGGATTCTTGTTGGTATCCTCTGTCCCTTCCAGGGCAGTTAAGACCACTACGAATCCAAGGCCCTGAAACCCAGCAAACCCTCCAAAACCCTTCTAGTTAAGCTCACCGAACCCAAGCCCCCCTCCTCCCGAAATCCACCTAGTCTACTTCAAGCCTACTTTACGTACCACTATACGGGCAAGGGGGGCACTAAAGCCAGCACGACAGTAACATCCGTTCAACTACGCAAAGCCCGAGGAGCACGAAACAGTAAAGTTGAACCCAGCGGCATCACGTCCAGTGCCACCCCGACAGGCCCAAGAATTATCATCAGCGCATAGCTCAACCTGAGTGAGCATCAAGAGATGGCGGGAAAACAGTGGAGGTGCCTGGAATATGCCTGCAAAAACCCGCGCAGCAAGATCCCGGCAAGGAGACGATGGAGGGGCCTTCCAATGAACCATGGAGCAGCTCAGCCGCACATGGCAGCTCCTCGAACAGTCCCTACCTGTCCCGCAAGGGGACCCCGATAATCCTATCGCAGCCCCACAAATCCCTTGGCTGGCCGCCGTGACACATCACTCTAGGAATCTGCTGTCCACATGCACACAAACCCTACGGAGTTGGCCGCTCGCCAATAAAACTGGCATAAGTTCCCCGAATTTCCTACGACCATGAATTACTGTAGAACTTAAGTAGGGTAATTAGGCCTCCCAGCATGGTCTATGTATAGGAGTATTCTCCTTCAGGAATTCGAGCGGCGGAAGGTCAGTTGCAGACATCCGGAGCAATTGCTCACGCAGTGGTCCTTTGCAAATCTTCAGGTTGTTGAGGCTTGTTGTTGTTTGGCAGTATGCCCTATAAGAGCCTAAGACCAGCTGATCAGAATAGGGTTGTTGGGGTATGCTATATACTTTCCAGCTTTCACTGAAATAACGCTGAAGAGGAAACTATGCCCCGATATCTGTGGACTAGGCTTGCGCTGCTCAGCTTTGGGAGAGTGCATTCGCCAAGATCAGAGGGCTACCGGATTCGAGACCTGAGCTTTGCGAGAAGCCTTCGCTTGGTTGCTTCCTAGTTACCGGTTAGCTTGCAAAGCCCATCTTTCCGATCGTCCCATGGTTGGAAATGCAGCGTGGCTACCTTATTTCACCCAGCCCTAGCCATGCTCAAGTTCCAGGGTTCAAGGTGGTGTCAGATGTTATTTCAGCCTCTCTGTCCCTGCCCGCATCCGCACGATGCGTTCCTGAGCATCCTTGCTTCCAGGTTCTCGTCATGGCAAGGCCTTTATCTCAACCTCCGAAAACTATACTGCCGCCCCAGCTGCCACGGACGTAGTCCGTGAAGTTGTCAACGCTGCCATACCAGGCAGCAATGGCTGACAGCACGAACCTTGCTGGTCCAAGAGCATACAGGCAGCCGGGTCAAAAGAGGATAACGTGAAAAAGCCATTGCTTGTGTCTCTCGGCATGGGGCTCTATTGCTACATCTACTATTCCTCCTGCTCCCGCTCTCCCTGCAAAAACCACTATATCCACATCCGCCGGCTGCCACAACGTAGCTTGTTCTTGCAGGCAAGGGAACTCTCTGTCTGATTGCAGTCGGCACTCCGCAGCCTCGGCGAACGCAAGCAAACTTGCACTGTCGTTAAAGCAACTTGGCACATGAAATCAGCTGCAGCCGGTGCACACGTTAGCGCTTCTACGGGCACTTCATGTGACAACCACAACGCTGAGGGCCAGGAACCCGTACAGACTAATAACAGCCGACACGACACCTGCCAGCACTACCCATACATACTGCAGACTGAGCCAAAGATGGAGAAGGCTGCTCGGAAAGGAGCGACCGAAGTTGACCGCAGTCCATTAATCTCATGTTAATGCACTGCCAATTCATCAGCAATGCATTATTGCTCCCTGCAAAGGCATCGTTTCTTCGCTGGGTCCGGGCCTCCACTTGGAAATTCTCCAAAACCGAGATCAGCTGGTGCTTCTCCTCTAGCACTGCAGCCCGCATGGCTCACTGTCTTAGGGCCCCCTAGATAACAACAGCGGTGTCCAGTTCCACAAAACGCCCTCATATCTCTTCTGACAGGTGCTGCTCGCTCTGGCAGAAGGCAATTATTCCCAAGACGTGCAGATAGACCCCACACAGGCCAACCTTGGCACAGGAGGCCAGTCAAGCAGGCCTGCTCTCAAGTTTGATTCACGCGCCCCCCCCCCCCCCCCC